GTGATCCACACAGTCAAAAGCCTTTGCATAGTCAATGAAATGCAGATAGACATTCCTCTGATACTCTCTGCTTTCTGCCAAGATCCATCTAACATTAGCTATAATATCCCTCTTACCATAGCCTCTTCTAAACCCAGCCTGCACATCTGGCACTTTTCTGTTGACGTGTTGCTCCAGTCGTTTTTGGATAATTTTTCAGCAGAATCTTGCTTGCATGTGAAATTAATGATGTTGTTCGATAATTTCCGTACTCTATCAGGTCACCTTCCTTTGGAATGGGAACAAATATTGATCTTTTCCAGTGGGCTGGAGCTCCCAGTTAAAACAGTTTGGGAGCAGGGGAGGAGACAGATTCTAAGCCTGGCTGAGCTTGTCACTTTGCTGCAGGTAAAGGTGACCAATTACAGTCATCTGTGGGCTGGGGCTCCCAGCTAAACTAGTTTTGGCCTTTTGGGCCTGCAGCCCTCAGGCCAAGAAAACAAAAATCATGCACCATTCCTAGAGGACACATTGCTCTGTCCTGAGAAACTATCCTCTCACATGAGCACCTGGCTGCAAATGGAAAAGAAGAGGTACTAAGTCACGAGAAGTCAGTCCTGGAGAAGAAGTTCAAGACAAAAGACTTTCAGAACTTACATAGGAAGCCTTCCTCATACTTGTACCTGTTAGTTGTACTTGTTGTTATGTGCCGTCAAGTCACTTGCGACTCATAGAGACCCTATATATAACAGCCCTAAACCCTACTCTATCCTGTGCCAATCGTGCTGCCTCTGACACACCCATCCCGATTACCCCAGTCACTGAATCAATCCACCTCATAGAGGGTCTTCCACTCCTGCGCTGTCCCTCTACCCTCCCAAGCATGATATCCCTCTCCAAGGACCTGTCCCTCCTTACAACATGTCCAAATTATGTCAGACGAAGCCCCAGAATCCTTGCCTCCAAGGAGTAGCCTGGTTTAACCCTCTCCAGGATGAATGTTTGTTTTCTTGGCAGTCCATGGTACTTAGAGACTCTTAAATTCAAGAGATACTAGCCACATCATAAGAGACTGGCAGCAGCATGAGGTGTTCAGAATCACAGAAACTCCAATGGCTTGAGACTTAAGCCATCATATCAAGAGCTGGTTAAGGGGAGAGAGGTGTTGAATGCTGTAGGTGGAAGTAGGAAGGGATGATAGTTGAGTAGGGAAAAGGGTGGGTCAAGACACACGTGGCAAGGGTGGGTAGCAACACTGAATCTATCGGTCATTTCTCTAACTGGGTAAGTGTCATATACATGGAACTTAGAAAAGTAGGTCAGTGCAAAACAGGAAAACTCTCAATGAGATGGATCAATACAGTGACTGTAGCAAGGGGCTTAAGTGTGTCAGAGATAATGAAGATAGCACAGGATAGGACAGGGTTCAGCTCTGTTGTTCACAGGGTTGAATACATTCAACTCAATTGCATTCAACTCGACAGCACCTAAGAACATAGTGTCTGTCAAGTTATGTCTCATCTAGCTTGGTCAAACTGCCAAGGGCTGGGACACAACTCAGGGTAAAACAAAGCCCTGCTCCAGAAAGCCCCGTAGGTGAACCGACCACCAACCTGGACACATTTAAAACATGGGAAGTTGGCTTCCTCCCGGAGGGAGCCCTCTAGCGGTGGTCAGGGGAAGTGCCCACGCAGGTTTCCTGACTCCAGCACTCCAAGAGGTACTGTGCAGGCTGGACTACACCCTGCTGGTGAGATGTGAGACCTCAACCTTTTAGGGTAAAGACAAGAGGAGTGGGCTGGTGCTTCACACCCTGAATAGAACCCTCTTCCTGGTTTGTAGGAGTGTTGGTGGTACTATAGGCTAAGCACTCAGCCACCAGCCAAAAGGCCCACAATTCAAACCCACCAGCTGCTTCTCAGGCTCCGGTAACAATCTGCAGCAACCCCCAAGACTACATCAGGGTGGGTACTTTGCCTAAAAGAGACTCTCAGATTATCTTCCAAGAGCAAATGTAAAATGCCTTTGTGCAGCTGAGAAAATGAATGTTGGAGAGTCCTGGAAGAACCTCAGACCCAACTTCCAGAATGAAGCCTGAACCCTTCACAGATGTGGTCTGCCTCTGGTACTGCATGTGCACCTGGAGGTCTGCACAATAAGCGGGGACTATTACAGTTGTGTGATATGGACACACCTGTATGGATCTGCTTTTGGAGTGAACACAATAAGCCTGAGAGCTTCAACACTGGAAGGGACTTTACAAGCATCTCATCCAACCTCTTTTCTCTGCCACCTTCCAAGCAGAACCTCTTCCCACTCCCTCTAGCTTTTTCATAGGTAGGAAGTGACCTCTGCTTGAATGCTTCCAGAGATGCGAAACTCACCACACACAAGAGCACTTTAGGGGTAAAATGCAACACAGATTAAAAAAACAAGTACAGATGAAATGTTCATACACATCTTGAGCAGAGCTTTAATCAGGTGGTTAAATTGGCAAAGAAAACCTACTGTATTTTGAGAAATAAGACAAAATCAGGTGGTCATACACAAGGGCTCCGACGAGGCACACCAAGGTGCATGGAGAGAATGCTGTGCACACCTCACGTACTGTGTGTTTTATACATGTATTTTACCTTTCATACCTGTGTTAATACTTTGTTATTGTGTTCGCTCTGAGGCCTGTTTCATTGCCTATGCCTATTTGAATAGCTTGTGTATCTAAAATCACGTGAAATGTGAATGATTAAAGCCAGTATGATGGTGACTGAACCGTGAAGAGCAAGGTCACGGCTTCCCCTGGACTAATACTCTCATGGTTGCATGACACTTGATATCTGTGATACATACCAAGCGAAGACTTGGCTGGCTGGGTCTGCTGCTGGGAAAGCTAGAAACCAGCCCCTTCCCATAGGTGTGTGTGTGTGTATTTATGACTATGGTGACAGTAAACGGACCTGTAGAGGAACTTTATTAAATATGAAAATATGGTTTTTAAAGAAAAAAAAATTCACGGCCTTGGAAAACCTATGAGGAAGTTCATCCCTGCATTTCTGAGCTGGAAATGACATGGTTCAAAGCCCCCTCTTTTCTTTTTTTAATTGAAGTAAAAATATACATTACAAAGCATTTACACATAGCATAATTTCTGATGTGTGTAACTTGGTGACAGCGACTATGTTCACCACACTGGGCAACATCACAGATACCTGTTTCCAAACTGTTTCACTACTATTCGCAGAGGCTCAGAGCCCCACAAGCTGACTGGCTCCCTACCCTGTCGCCCGGAGAGCCATTCAGAAACTTTAGTTTCTAAGCATTTGCTGATTTCTTATTAAGGCGATTAGTGTCCTCTTGCAGCTGGTCGTTCATGCAGTGTTTCCAATTCACGTCCCTCAACAGCAGACTGATATTCCATTGTATGCGTGTGCCAAGTTGTATTTAAACGCTCCTCTCTCTGTCCACGGGCAGTGCTGCTGTAAACACTGGTGTTCCTGTAGTTCGAAGGGATGGAAATGAAACATTCTCACCACATTGAAGGGGAAATTCAGCCTGAGTTCCCTAGGCAGGATCTGGTGGCCTCGTGGCAATAAGCTGAGCTGCAAACCTGCAATCCTGAAGGCACCAGTTCGAGGCCACCAACTGCTCCATTGGAGAAGGATGGGTAAACTACTCCTGTGCAATCAACTATCTGTGAAAAACCACCAGAGGGTCAGCTATGGGTCGGTTCCGAATCTACGGTACACAGTAACAACGCCCAGATAAAGTTTCAAAGAAGATCCTGATCAGGGCTCCACTACAAAATTATACTTTTCAGAGAATCAAGCATTTTCTCTGCTTTCAAAATAGTTGTGGTGTTTTTCAAACGCAGGTTTGGAGACTGTAAACATGAAAGGGGCAAGAAGTCAAAACCATGGGCGTACCAAAAATTGCTATCCATTAGAATGTCAACTCCCTAAGGGCAGGCACTTTGCTGCCCTGTGTTTGTAGACATGCCCAGTGTTTTATTTGTTAAATGAATAAAAAAAGAGACTGTTTACAATAATAAAAAAAAAGTCAAAACCAGAAGGGAGCAGATTTGGCTGTGGCCAACAGGCACTGAATGTCCCAGGTATGGACGCCTCAGCTAGAGTGGGGGCTGAGCGCTGGGGGGTGGGGGGGACGGGACACAGGAGCATGTGGAGCAGTGGAAGTGTGCAAGGAAGTGGGGAGGGGAGGATGGGCTGACCAATGGAGGGCACAGCAGTATGTGAGCAGAGCGTGGGGAAAATCAGCAGAAGTGGGCAGGGTAGTGCGGAAAGCAGGACAGTGTGTCAGAAAGTCATGAGGTGTGTGAGAGATGAAGTGGTGGGGTGATACCCACTGGGGATGGTGGTGCATGGAGGTGCATGAGGCAAAGGGAGAGACTGAGTGAAATGAAGGCAGAGTAGTAGGGGGCTCAGCTGTGTGGCAAGCAGAGGAGACAAAGCAGTAGAGGTGAGTAAGGCAGTGGGGACAGAGCTTAGAGGTGGGGCGAAGGGAGGTGACAGCAGGTAGGACAGGCCCCCCTCAGTGGCTTCCCTCCCAAACACCTGATGAAAATGCAGGAGGCCGAGGTTACAGGACAGCTGGGGGACCTTAGTCTGGACCTGGCCTCCTCATGGCCTGTGCAGGCTTTGCCTGAGCATACACTTAGGACAGGAGAGGGAAATTCAGAGTCCCAGAGGGGTGAGGGGGTGGGAACAGCTCTTAAAGGGTCACTGGACTTTGTTAGTAAGCACACAATCAGGTGAGTGAACAGAGCAGGCCCCTGAAGTTTGGAGGGCTCCTTCTCACCCTGCCCACTTGCTTGAGAGACCCTTCTGGCTGCAGCCCACACAATGCCTTCACCTTGGGAGGAATGACACCCATGAGCACCCTAGAACTCAACCAGAACCCCACCCAGTGCTGGTAGGAATGCCCAGTGCCTGCATGCAGAGGGCCCAATGAACCACAGTGGAGGCATGGGGAGATGGAGACCTCAGATAGGAGGGCCTGGCCATTACCTAGAGCTTCGTGGGGAAGGACGGGAGCCCCGGCAGCATTTCAGTACTGTTGAGGGAGGACAGCCATGCACCACCATCAGCCACTAGCACGACTCCAGTCACGTAGGATGCAATGGGACTGACCAGGTAGAGTGCACTGTGGGCAATCTCCGTCTTGTTTCCACATCTCTGCAGGGGTATTCCCAAAGAGCGCAGTTTCTGGCTGTTCAGGAAGCCACCTGAAGGGTAGCATGTTGGTCACAGGAGGGGACTCTAGAGCCTAAGGTCCTGCCCCAGCCAGCTTTTCTCCTCAAGAGGAAGGGTCAGTGCTAAAGTAGGCAGAGCAGGAACCAGACAGGTCAATAAGGATGGGGATTTCCTGACCACTTTGCTAACAAGGTCTGGGAGATCCCATGGGGCACTTCACTCCTCACCTCCTTGGAGCAGCTGCCTCAAGTCCAGCTGTGGACGGACTGTCTCTCAGGCCAACACTCTACCCCCTAGCCCTGGGAGGGTGCTCCCATAGGGCCTGGGCACCCCACAGAGCTTACCCAGCCGCCTGAAGCCTTCAGTACCACTGATGGGGCCGGGCGCCAGGCTGTTAACTCGGATATTCTGATGTCCCCATTCCACAGCTAGGTGCCGAGTCATGGCATCTGGGCAGGGGGACAGCCAGAGTGAAGAGTGTCTGGAGAACCAGAAGGGCCTCCCGGCCACTGGGTTGGGAGGCCAGGTCCACTCTAAACTTCAGCCCTAGGCACATACCCACAGCGGCCTTGGCCGAGCCCGCATGCACCTGGAATATCTGTCCCCGATTGCCCAGGGTCGCTGTGATGTTCAAGATCACTCCTCCATGATCCTAGGATGTAAGAGAGGGGTGGTGAAAGTTGGATAAGAGAATGAAAGGAGCCTGGGGTCGTGAGTGGTTGGCCCAAAAGAGGGGACTGCAGTGTGGGGAGTGGGGGGGAACCTGAGGCAGTGAGTATGGGGCTGAGGAGGGAGCATGGTCCAAAGGGTACTGACCTGGAAAAACTTCTCATAAACCACACGAGACACATTGAAGGTGCCAGCGGTGTCAATGTCCAACACAGTCTTGAAGGCATTGAAGGACAGGGCACTGGCGGGGCACAGGAAGTTTCCAGCAGCACCTGTGGTGGGAGGGGATGATGAACCACGCTGGGGAGAGGGGGACAGCCTGAGGGCAGAAGTCCTGGGGGCATGTAGATCAGCAGAGGTGAGGGGGTGAAGTGTGTGTGCAATGTGCCTGTGCACAGACCTCTCTGTTTGACAAACTTCTAAATGATAGAAGTAAGAGAAGATGTCTTATAAACTATGTCCCGAGTTAATAATGACATTATCAGTATCGGTTCATCAAAGTCCTTCTTGATACATAATAAACAGGGATGACCTTTGAAAACACCACAGTAAATGAAATAGTCTGATGCCAAAGGGTTAAGATTATATGATTCTAAAATTTTTAAAAAATCAAACTCAATTCTGACTCACAGTTGGATGGGGCAGAACTGAGGCTGTAATCCTTACAGAAGCAGTTGGCCTCATCGTTCTCCTGGAGTGGCTAGTAGGTTCAAACCTCTGACCTACTGAGTAGCAAGCACTGAGTGCTACCAGGGCTCCTTTGTATGACCTGTACTTACCTAAACTAAAACAAGATAGTTTACAGAGACCACAGTGAGCTGCGGTTGTCTAGTGGTTAGAGAGGAGGGGATGGGGAGTCATTATTTTTTTTCCCAACTTTTTATTGTGATTTGAGCAAAAGTTTACAAAAGAAATAGCTTCTCTTTTCTTTCTTTCTCTTTTCGGAAATAGCTTTTCTTTGCAACAATTCATACACATTATATTTTGTGACACTGACTATAATCTTTACATTATAATAGTATTCTTCCCACTTCCATTCTTTTTTCTTACCTATTCTCTCTCCTGCCTTTTGTGGAATGGGGTGTTACTGTTTTACAGGATACTACATTTCCATTTTGGGGTAATTAAAAGCATTAGGACCTGTTAGTGGTGGTGACTGCATTACAAAGGGAATGTGAGTAACATTGTTGATCTGGACACAAAATATTTCATTAAATGCCCAGTAACATTAACACACACACACTGGATCATTCATTTTAAGAAATTTAACATAAAATGCAAGATGTTAATAACAAGAGAACTGGGTTGGGGAGGGAGGGCATTCAGGCCTTCTGTACTTTTAGCCATTTATCCTGTTAATCTAAAACTATCCTGAAAACAACATATATATCTTAAAAAAAATGCATTACTTGATTCTGACCATGGTGACCCTACAGGGAAGAGCAGAATTTCCCTTGGGTCTCCACAACTATAAATCTTTAAGGGGGACACAGATCACCTCCTCTTTCTTTCTCCATTGACTGGGGGTTTTCCATCCAACAATTCAGACACACTATTTCCTTACACCCATCACATTCCCACATCCTAACAGCACTCTTCCTAGGTCCTCCCTGTGTTTCCAGTTTTCATTATTTCCTACCCATGCTGCCTCTGGAGAACGGGGCACTAAGAAGTATTAAGCTGCTGTTTCGGGCTAACCTTTTGGTTAGTAGGTGAGTGTTGGTTTGTTGTTTTTTTTAAGGAGTTCTAGCAGTGCGGTATCATATGTGTCACGCTACTAACCAAAAAGTTGGTGGTTTAAATCCATCAGCTGCTCCTCCACTGAAAGATTAGCAGTCTCTTGCTATTAAGATCTACAGCCTCGGAAGCCTGAAGGAGGGCTGCTGGAGCTGAAATCCAATAGATGTCCACGGTCTGTTGTTTTGTTGCATTGTTTTTTTAAAAATTGTGCTTTGAGTAAAACTCTATAGGGCAAGTTGGTTTTCCATTCAATCATTCATACACTTTTCTTTTATTATATCAATTACAGTCTCTGTAACATAAACCCATTTTTTTACTTTTTCTTGGTTACTATTGTTATTTCTTCAAAGGTTACTACTATTATTTCTTCAGGCCCAAGTGGTGAATGGTCACTGGGCTCCTGAGAATGGTCACTCTGGCAACACTCACCACCAAGCAGGACCTGGTCCTTGGACACTGGAATTCCTAGTCCCACTGTGCGGATCCTGCACCAGCATGTGTGAAAGGAGGTCTGGGATTGTCAGTTGCTCAAAAGCCCTGAGCTCACCCATGAACTCACCGTTAACCAGGATGTCAATTTTTCCAAACTCCTTCAAGGCCTCATCCACTGCAGCTATGATGGTTGGGGGATCTCGAACATCTAGCGACAGAGGGAGGCACCGCTGGCCTGTAGCTGCAGTCAGTTTCTTGGCAGCCTAGAAACCAGACAGGAAAGCAGGTATGGTCAGCAGGCAGCCTCTGGTCAGCGTCACTTCAAACTCTGCACCAGATACTGGGATTCTCTGTTAGGAAACCAGCTTTTGCTGTTAAGTCTACTCTGCGGAGAAGCCACCTCAGTTTGAGATCCCAGTCAACGTTTGTATGTTTCCCATGCTGTTTGCTCCTTGCTCCATCCCCATGTCTCCTCCACGTCTTTGTCACTGGTTACAGCACAGACCGCTTGGAGACAGGGCCGTGTACATGGGTGCCTCTGCTCCTACACAAGAGACCTTCTTTGGCAGGTGAGTAAGACATCCTAGTCACTAAACCCTGCTGTTCCCTGATAATGTCTGGGACTACTCCACCACACACAGCATCCAGAGACCAAGGGTACTGGGATGCAACATCCAGTGAAGCTAATCTTGAGCCTCAGAACCCCCTGGTCTTGACTGCTCCCCCACAACAGATGGGGGCCATGGAGAACCTCACCGTGAACACTCTTGGTAGGCTCCTGCTGGCGATGACAGTGTGGCAGCCATGCCTGTGAGACCAGAGGACAGGTGTGAGCACAGCCAAGGATGCTGACCATACCCAGGAGGGCCTGCCCAGAGCCATAAGGGAGCCCCCTCCTTTAAGAGTTTTTGCTGTACCCTCCACCCCCCCCCAAAGGACACAGAGCACAGGGCAGATACCTGTGGTGAACACTGTCACTGGGTTTTCCATCCCACTGGGAACTTACGTGCACCTCAAACATCCCTGAAGCAGTCTGAGTCTACTGGTCCACTTTACTTGACCTGAACCCCAAAAGCTATCCCTGTTCTTCTAAAAGACTCAACCTACCACCAGCTAAGCAAGTTCCCCTAAACTGTTGCTTAAACTATGACATCCAGATAACCTCTCTCATCTTAGAGGCAGCCCAAGGGCACGAGTCATACTCAGCCGAGGGGAGTGAGTTTAGTGGGGCTCCTCACATAACTCATCTCTCCGGTTTGAAAATCAAGGATTTGGGGAACACTGAGAAGAGACCCTAGGATATTAGCAGGCATGCTTTCCCCAAGCCAAGCCCTGATGTCTCCTGATTCCAGAATAGAGGTGGCCAGGTTCCACCTGGGCCTGAGGCCACAGAATTTATGTCCATGAACTCTGCCCTGAACACTGCCCTAGGAAGCCCAGTGTCACCAGGCTGCACTGAACATAAAGCTGTCCACATCTAATTGTGAAAGAACTGTTATCTGGTTGAAAGCCTGCCAAGGTCTCTCTATGGTTAGCCAAGGGACATCAACTCAACTGGGAGACTCTGCTAAGACATGTACTCTCATTCCCCTCTTTGAACAAATGGGTGTGCCAAGTCTGAGTCAGAGAGCCAGGGCTGATACTTTCTCTTTCTCTCTCTCCCTCTCTCTGTCTCTCTCTCTCTCTCTCTCTCTCACACACACACACACACACACACACACACACACGAGCCCACTCAGGATTTGACACCGTCCAGACCTTCCCAGAGGTCCTACCATCCTGTCTCCAGGAAAGAGGTAATACTGGGGCACACACCTGGCCAGGGAGCCTACTACAGGGCAAGAGCCACAGGAGGAGGCGAGTTGGGGCCAGGAAAGGGACAGGGCAGTACTCACCGCATGAAGATCTCAGCAATACGAAAGCCGATGCCTGAACCCCCACCGGTGATAAATGCCACCTTGTCCCTGAAAGGAGCAAAACAGGGACTCGAACACAAAGTTCCCATTATCTCCGGGGAAAAGAGCAGGCAGGTGACCCTGGAGGACTTTGGTCCTCAGCACTGGATTCTTCCATTAAGTAAACGCTGCTTCTGGAGCCTGGCATTCTGGGTCGGTGCCCTCTCCTTCCATCTACCTTGCACTTCCCCCCAGGGGAACCCAAACTTGGAAGCTCAAAATTAGCTGAACCGCTAGGGACAAGTACTGCCTAGGACAGGCCAATGACAATGCAAAGGTCACCAGGCTGCCTGGACAGGCGAGAGCCTGGTCCAGGACCCTTACGTCGAATGAACCCCACATCACACCACCTCTTCTGGACCTGCACCCAAGGCGCCCCGACCCCATCCCCACCCTTGCAGCGCTCACCTCAGCAGGTCTGGGCTGAAGAGGTGGCGGTACTCAGGAAGACAGTCATCCTCATCAACGTCGGGCGGCAGCTGAGCCATGACTTCTGTGCAGGCGATGCAGACAGCAGAGACCACTCTGATTAAGTGGTTGGTGCAAAAACCTTAATCTTGAGGTTCTGAGCTCCTTCGCCAACTCTCAGGTTTACCTGCTTACGCTCCTCTACACTCCTAGTTCATTCCGTAACCCACACTCCCTGCCCCCATCCACGCCCCCACGCTCCCCCACGCCCCCCATTACCCCGCTCCTCTTCTCCACTCGCCCCGCCCTGCTGCCCTGCCCGCTCTGTCCTTCCCCGCAGGCCGCAGCCCGCCCTCTGCGCACGCCACGCCCTTTCCGACACGCTCCGCTTCTCTGCGCGCCTCCGGGTCCGTCCTCGTCCGCTTGCCTCTTCCGCCCCCCCTTACTCCGCCCCTCTGCGAACTCCAGGCCCCGGACGCCCCACTCCGCATCAGCCGCGCCCTCCTTGCATACCCTCCCCGCGCCTACCTTACTAGGCCATCAATTCTGTACCGCCTCACCCCGCCTGCTGCTAACGCCCCTCCCTTTCCACCACGCACCTCGGTCCACACCCCTCCTCCCTGCACTTCCCTGCTTATTGCGCAAGCGCATGTCCCTAACCCAGCCCAAACCCCGGCACCTCCGCTCCTCACGGTCGCACTGCCTTCTGGAACCAAAGGGGAACTGGGGGCGCAGGCGTAGTGCCGATTCCCTCTACGCATGTGCGGCGCAGGTTGGGAGGGGCGAACGCTGCATGTGACCTTGGAGCCGTTTTCAAACCAGGCGTAGGTAGCACAAAGCTTCCCGTTTAGGTTGTCGCCTTCCCCTCCTTGGTTCTTGCGTTAAACAGAGTTGTGGCGCGGGACAGTGACATTGAAATACCCTGAGTTGAAAGGGACAGAAAAATTGTCCCTGTTGCCTAAACGTGGCGCAGCGTGGCAGGCCTAGAAGCTGAGGAAATTTGGAAAAACAGCTTTTCCCGCTTGTGTCAGACCCAGAAGGCACCTGCCTTACCCGGTGAGGAACTTGTGCTTAATTAATAAAGCTCTGCAGTAGCTGGTATTTGGAACCCAGGACCAAAACTGATTAAGTAACATTACTCAGCAAGAGTAGGGAGCTCTGATGGTAAAAAGCTGCGCAGCAATTTCAGAGGCATGAGGTTGGAATCCACCAGCCGTTCTGCGGGAGGATGGGCAATCTCCAGTATGATTAACTCCCTATGAAAACTGCTGCAGAGTAAGCTATGGGTCCGTTCCAAGCCAACAGTAACAACTCACCAGGAGTAGTACTATATACAGTGTCTACTATCTGATGGGTGATCAGGGAGCTTCAGGAGAGAGAGATGGGGTGCCACGACTGCACCAGCTTCACTTGCCACTCTGCCACTGTACCTTCTACTTCCATTTTGCCAGATAGTTTTTGTTACGTGCCAGATTAGGGCCACCACTTTCCTCCCCCCCACCCCCATCTCAAGCTGTTGGACTCAACCCGTCTGGCTCAGGCATGATAGATAGATAGATACATGCATGCGCCTTACTGGGAATGTGAGACAGTTGGCTTTGTTTTTTGTCTTCAAGTTTCTCAATTCCCAACCACACATACAGAGAGCAGTGGATTTTAATGTCTTCCTTAGATTCATACTTCCCACTTTGGGAAACACCCCAAAGGCTGTCGGCACTTTGGTACAGAAAGGAATTGGTCCTATCTGGTGCTGGTCTGGGACATGGAAAGGCACATAAAGTGATGGCTCGAACACCCCTGGCAGGCCAGGGGAGAAGTAGGAGAGTGTCGGGGTGGTGCGTGGGCTGAGATTGGCTGACAGAGGTAATTGGTCCTGTTGGCCGGAGTGGAGAAGCACAGCTGGGCATCATGCTGGGTAATTGCTGCTGTGGGGGCCCCGATCCTGCCAGTCCACCAGTTCACTGCTCCGAAACCACAGTGCAATCTCTCTCTGAGCCCCCTCCACTGAGTCGCTGGCATGGATGACGTTCCTGGAGGGGGGGGGAGATGACACAAGTAAGGTTTTGAGAAGGCTAAAGAGCAGGCAATACTCCACAACTTTCATTTTTCTAACCATGCTTTCTGCTTCCTTATCAAGCGATGTGAGGCTATTCTGTGTTTAAAGATTAAAATAAATCTCTGGGACGCAGAACAGCCTTGCCCACAGGTTTATGTTTAACTAGTTCTCATATGATTTTTTCTCAGAACCACGAGCTTGAGCCAGTATCCCGAAGGGTGTAAGTGCCTCACATGGTGACCTTCCCTAAGTGGTGAGAAACAATTCAGTTCTCTCTACAAAGCTAAGACTGGCACTGTAAGGAGCTATGTATATACAACATTGCAGAATACATTGTGCCAACCAATCCCAGAAGCATTGCTGGCACATAATCTACATAATCCCACCTCTTCTCCTAAAATTCTCTTCATAGAGTCTAAAGAAACAAGATGTCCTTTCCTACCTGAAACCCTTTTTAAGTCCCTGAAACCTATCATTTGGGGAGACAGAGGCTGGCATTGGTGCAACCCTTCTCTGACCCTGTTTTCAAGGCAACTATGCTTAATAAGGAGCTTTGGTGGCCTAGTGGCAAGAAGCTGCACTGCAATCCCGAAGGCACTCGGTTCAAGTCCACCAGCTGCTTCACAGGAGAAGGATGGACAGTCTTCTCCCATGTGATTAACTGCCTCTGAAAACCCACTGGAGGGTCATCTATGGGGTCAGTTCTGACTCAATGGTACACAACAGCACCATGCTTAATAAGGCCTTGTTTGTGTGGAACTGCTAAGCTTCTCCTGGTCTTTCTCAGTCAGTAGAAGGCAAGCACTTTTCATAAGAACCAATGCTTTCACAACAATGTTGGGTGCTTTCCATAGTTTCCTTGGCAGTCCTGGGGAGCACACTGAGCAACAAGGAGCAGGGAAGGGAGTAACCAGCACTTAGAGTTGCAAGACTGGGCCCAGCTTCCTTCCCACAATCTTGTGGACTCATTGTATGTATGACTATATGTCCACCTTCTCAGAGACTGGTTTCCCCTCCCTTTCCAAAACTAACTTATGCCAGTTTCTTAGAGTGGCTGAAAAGACAAATTTGGACATCAGAGGCAGAGCAAAGAACAGTGTGCTGATAGTGTCCCTCATGTGGATGTAAAGAGTTCTGAAAGAACATGTGGATGCAATATCCAGCTAAAATTACAGGCTTAGAAAGCAAACAGTAACGCCGGCCAGGTGTTATTATACACTCCTTAGAACAACCAACCACAGGAGATCCAAAGGGCTACATTCACACAGCCAGAAAGCTCAGAAAGCAGAGAAAGAAGCCGGAAAGAACAAAGAGACTGCAAAGCACAGGGAGGAAGTGGGAAGAGTGCTGTTCCTCTGCGGGGACTGCATCAGTGTCAGGAAACACAATGTGTATACATGGTTAAATGGAAAACCAAATTGGTAAACTTTCACTCAAATCACAACAAAAAATTAATTGGGCCGGAGGAGCTTTGAAAGACTGCATGGAGAACCTTAGGAAAGCTTTCCCACTTCATTCAAGGGGAAGCTTTCAGTGAAGGCGGCCCTCGTGACAGTGACAGGGCGGGCTGCTAATCTTAAGACAGAGGTTGAAGCTTCAAAACGACTCCAAAAGAAAAAGATGCCCCAACCTGCCCCCATTAAGGTTTACAGCCTTGGAAATTCATGAGGTGGGACTAATCAACTGTGTGCTACAGGGTCACTTTGAGTTAGAATCAACTTGTGGGAAGCAGACGACCAAATGTAAAGGAAAGACTCAGTGAGATGGAGAGATACGGTATAGCAGCCACAGTGGATGCAAGTGGACCAATGATGAGGAATGTGGCAGAAACTGGCAATTCTGTCTTTTATACAAATAGGGCCTCAACTGGTCACATCTGGCTTAAAAGCAACAAGAATAAGAATCCTCCCTGGGTAGTGCAAATGTTAGGTGCCCACTGGGTTTCTGATGGAAAGGCTAGAGGCTACCGCCCATCCATAGGTGCCTCAAAAGAAAGGCCTGGCCACACCTACTTCTGACACATCAGCCCTGTAGAGCCTCTGCTTTACCCTTTCTGCTCAACCCAGGTTCATCAGCTTACACCTCGGGGCAGCCCTTGCCCTCTAAGTGTATCTCAGTGGCCAGCATCATGGCCATACCTGCTGATATGGAGGCTGAAGTCTCCCCGGATGGTCCCAGGGGCAGCCTCCGCCGCATCTGTGTCCCCAATCATGGCCCTGGAGCTTCGTACCACGTTGTGGCCTTCCCAGACCTGCAGTTCCGAGTTACAGGGGTCAGAGAGGAGGGAAAAGAAAGGTAGAGGCTATGCCAGGCTTCTGAGAGGATGCAGAACAGGAGGACAGGTCCAGCCACGCCCCACCCACAGCCCCAGGGACCAACTCACCATGGCCACCACAGGGCCAGAGCTCATGTAACTGATGAGAGCTGGGTAGAAAGGCTTCCTCCGCAGGTCATGATAATGCTCTGTAAGGATATTCTCCGGGGTCTGTGCAAAGTGGCTGTGTGAGTCAGGGGGTCTCGTGGGTGAGGTGGTGCATAGGTAAAGAAGGTGTATGGGGGGGGTGAAGGAGTGAGGGCATTTCCCGCCCCCCTACTACCTGTAACAACTTCATCCCAACAAGTTTGAAGCCCCGCCTCTCGAAGCGCCGGATTATGTCCCCCACCAGCCTGCGCTGCACCCCGTCTGGCTTCACTGCCACCAGGGTCCGCTCCTGGGTCCAGGAGGGTCCTCCTTTGGAAAGGGAGTGTCACAGCTGTGCTGTCTCAGTCTCCGTGTCTCCCTAACCCTGGCCAGGCCCAGTAGTTTCTGCCTGTACCCCAATATAGCTGGAAGGGGGCAGTACCCATAATGGGGGAGGTCTGAGGAAGCGTCCCAAGATAAAGCGCGTTGGATAAACTGAGGACGCTGGCCTCACTCCAACTCCTGGCCTTTGAGGACTGAGGGACCCCATATCAGAAGGGGCCCAGTGTCTACTCTTCAAAAACAAGGTTGGCCCTCGTGGATGGGACCGACGTGGATCCCTGGGCTGACACTGGGTGGGCCGCCCTGCTACAGAGAAGCTCAGGGTCGGTCCCACCCTGGCCGAACTCTGAGGAACAGGCAGGAAAGGGGTCCGAGTTTCCCCTTGTCCCCCACAGACTCTGTCACCGCCCACTGTGGAGGAGAGGATGGCGCAAGGAGGGGCGGATGGGGGGCTGAGCGCATGAGGCTTTTCCGGTCAGGCTGCAGGAAGGCCCCCTGCGCCCGCCTGCTGGGGTCCCTCACGTGCGCGAACAAAGGCCGCGCGCCCCGCCGCCCCTCTCCCGCGCGTGGCGCCCACTCACCCGAGCTGTGACGCACGGGGGTCGGGCCTGGGACCCGCGGGCCGCTCAGCAGCCACCACAGCGCGGCGCGCCCCCAAAAGCCGTGCATGACCCCTCCCGCAGACCTCTCCCTGCACAGAAGGCCCGGCGGAGCCCTGAAGGGAGGGTCGGGGGCGGTGACAGGTTTGCGCCCCGCCCCTCGGCGCCGGCATGCTTGGACCCAGGCCCCCAGGCCTCTGGACCCCAAAACTACAGGGCAGGGTTTTTTCTCAACACCTTCCAGGCTGCAGTCCTGAACCGATTCTGGACTCCGCATGTCGAATCTGCCCTGGCTAAGCCCTGAACCTGACACCAGAAACGTCCCCAACCCTGCTCATTTGCAGAATGTTGGCCCTCACAGAGCCCTGCAAATATTGAGCCTCTTTTTCTGTTAAAACCAGAATAAAGGAACCAGTTCAGAATGTAGACATATGTATAACCTGGTAGAAGAAAGATACACTTTTAATTACTTCTTATGGAAGCAGGGCCAGCACATCTAAATTTTGTTAAGAAATTTTTAAAATGTTTGCAATGTGTCACATTCTACATAAGTTTTTCATCTTAGCCATTAATTGGTTTTTTCCCCATTTATTTCTTTTATCATTGCCAAGCATGTCCCATTTCTTACTCACGAGAACTTAACATAGCTTCTTCATTTCTCCTCCCTGACAATCCTTATCTAAAGAAATGGCTTTAAGGGCAAAATTACCAGTGAGTGACTCATAGCTGACCTGCTAGGGTGTTTTCAGAGGCAGTAAATCTCATGGGAGCAAACTGACCATTAATCTCTTTGATCATGTTTTGCAAGCACTCCTTGTCTTCATATACACAAATCTTGGCTTTACTGGGTTTAGTGGTGAACTTCACAGATTTACATTTGTTTTTACAAACAAGGTTTGTGGCAATTCTGCACGTAGCAAAATCCATTGGCAACATTTTTGCAATAGTATGTGGAGACATCCTGTCTATATGCCACATTTTGGTCATTCTCCCAATTTTTCATAGAGCTATTAGATACTTCAGCTCTGGTGGCCTAGTGGCAAAAAGGTACGCTGCAATCCCGAAGCCACAAGCTAGATGCTCATCCGGAGAAGGATAGCAAACTCCTCCCATGCTATTAACTGCTTTTGAAAAACCCACCAGAGGATCAGGTATGGTTCTGACTCTACAGTGCACAACATTACAAACTTCAGGGAGCTCTGCTGGCGTAGCGATAAGAAGCTGCACTGCAATTTCAAAGTCACACTGTTCGAATCCACCAGGGGCTCTCAGGGAGTAAGATGGGCTTTATCGCCTCTGAAATCCACTTGACAGTACACAAGAACAACATTGCATACTTTAGGATAGAAAATTTTGCAGGAGAGAAGAGTAACAGACAAGCAATCAGAAAGAAGGTGCATGCAAGATAGGTAGTAACATTTAATAAATCAAAATTTCAATAAATCAGATTTTCATTGGGAAAATCTGGTGTCAAGGACATCTTTAATGTGCCAGAGTGCAAGGATATCAGTTTAAAGACTAAGGTGTGCCTGGCACACCCCAGGACATTTCCCATTGCTTCATATAGACATGAAAGTTGGATAATAAATAAGGAATGCCGAAGACAAATTGATGCCTTTTAATTGTGATGTAGGTAAAGAGTACTGAATATATCACAGACTGTCAAAAGAGTAAGCAAATCTGGAGAAAATGCAACCAGGGTGCTCCTTCAAAGTGAAGATGGTGAAATATCATCTCACATACTGTCAGGAGATGTTGTTGTTGATTGCCTTTGAGTCAAGCATGACTCATAGCGCCTCTATGAACAAAAGACCTGAAGCGATTCTGTAATTATCGTCATTTCTCCAAGTTCATAGAGTTTCCAGAGGCATGTGGTTTAGGAAGTGGATGCCTCTCCTGCTTCCAAAACTGTCATATACTGTGAGCTCCACCAAACACTGTTCACCATGGGCAATTGTTATGGCATTTGACACCCCAATGTCATAAGGTTTAGCATCACAGCAAGCCTAGATTACCTCAGTACAGCAAATTGACAGAAGAGTGCTGTACAAAGTAGAAGAATGTTCCCTCCAAAATACAACATGAGGAGATGTTAGGTCTTAGAAAAAGACATTATGTTGGGGAAAGAAGAGAATCAGAAAAAGACAGGGAAATCTTCAACAAGATGGATTAACACAGTGATTGCACAATGGTTATGAGCATGGCAGAGATAATGAAGATGGTGCAGGATAGGGCAAGGTTTCAATCTATTGTTCATAAGGTCACTGTGAATTATAGCCAACTCAACAGCACCTAATAATGACAACAGCAACACTGACTACTTAATAAGCTATAATATGGTGTAAACATTTTTAAAAGTTTTATTATTAATAATTTTAATGAAAATTTACAGACTTTGGATTTCCATTCATGGTTGCACTTTTCTCCCTGCCTACTCCTCCCCACCCCATTCACTCTTCTCTTTGAAAAGTAAAAGAAAAATTCTTTCATTGTTTTACAATTCCTCCCCCCAAGTCCACTCCACTATGCAGCCTTCGTTCTGGACTCCTGTCATGACAATAAAACCTAATCGCATATCCCTTTTAAACAATTTTCTCCCTCATCTGTTTCAATGCAGTATACATTATTTATCCCATATTTCTCAGTCTCCCCCCAACCTTGATGTCAGTCCCGTTTTATAACAGTTGCACTATGCAATATTTGTCCTTTTGTGACTGAGACATCTCACTCAGCATAATGTCCTTCAGGGTCACCCATTTTGAATAATATTGCATGAGTTCCTTGTTTTTCAATGCAACGTAGTAATCCATTGTGTGAATATACTACAGCTTTTCTATTCACTCGTTTATTGATGGGCACTTGGGTTGTTTCCAACTCTTTGCTATTGTGAACAAAGGTGCAGTAAACATGGGTGTCCATGTATCTGCTTAGGTGGCAGTTATGGTTTTTTTGGAGTATATTCCCAGTAGTGGAATTGCTGGGTCAAATGGTATTTCTATTAGCAAGTTTTTGAGAAAGTGCCATACAGCCTTCCATAGTGGTTGTACCATTTTACACTTCCATCAACAGTGAATAAGGGTTCCAGTTTCTCCACAACCTCACCAGCATTTGTTGCTTGCTGTTCTGTTAGATTTTGCTATTCTTACTGGGGTGAGATGATATCTCATAGTTGTTTTGATTTGCATCTCTCTTAGAGCTAGAGATTTTGAACATCCCTTCATGTGTTTGCTGGCCATCTGAATGTCTTCTTTGGTGAAGCATCTGTTTATATCCTGAGCCCATTTTTCAATTGGATTGTTCACCTTTATCTTGTGGTGGGTATAAACATTTTTATATACTGAGGAAAACAGAAAAATGCATGTGACTCACTTGATTGTGACGTTCACTTTATTGCAGTGGTCCAGAACAGACCTGCCATTTCTCCAAAGTATTCTGGTATTTCCATTTTTAAAAATCACCCCAAACAGAAACTCTACTCACTAAATGATAACTCCATTCCTCTGCCATCAGTCTCTAGACACTAATCTGCTTTTTAAAAAGTCTTTTATTTTATATTGATTTGCTTACAAATTACATATAGATATGTTTCACACTATTTTCCATTCATATTGTGTTTTATACAATCTTTCCATGCATTATATTTCATAAAATTCAATTCCATTGGGCCTTGCTCATCATTATTCTGTCTTTTCACCCAGATCTTTCCCATTTCCTTCACACCTTCCCTCCACCCAACAAATTGTGCAACCCTGTGCAACCCATCCTTACCCCTCCAATCGCACCCCATTGCCCTTTGGGTCCCCATACATGTTTTAGTAGTCATCCTTCTATTTTTACAATAATGATCCTAGGCAGTATTTCTCTTTATGAGACTGAGTTAATTCACTCAGCACAATGCTCTTCAGTCTCTCACAAGTTATGTGGTGGGTTGTTGTGTTTTTTTATTTTTTTAATTTAGTTTGTTTATTTTTAATTTCAATGAACATCTACAGAGATTTTGGAATTCCATTCATTCATTGTT